TGTGCAGACATTTTTTGGGGACGCCCTATATCTAAAGAAAATGCTGTAACTGTTTGATGTGGGTCAGTCAGTAATCTGCTTTCACTTATATAAGAAAAGGGGAGAAGGCAGCAAAAGACTGTGGTAGATAGCCTCTCACTTAACTTTGGGGATAGCAAGAAACTCAGGACAGAGTAAGACTTTTCCGCCATTAGTGGTGACGGAGATTTTTTGTCTAAAAGTAATTCCAGCAAAGCCCACATTCTGTAAACTGTCTCCATTCCCTCCAGACACACTTGGAGGTCAAGTACCCATAGATATTTACTTTTAACTTGGTTTTCCATTTCCAACTTCTGTTGAAGCATGACATTTTCTAGTTATAGCAGAGATTTTTTAAGATTTAGTTCAGTTCGTGTCATATCACATTGCACTGTAACAGTGTGCAAATGTACCTCTGCTTTTTCCACATTACCTTCCAGTTTTAAACCCGTGGGGCAAATGCTTTGCGTTTACCTTAATACTTTCTTTACTGACTTAAAGAGGCTGTAAAACAGTTTAAGATGAACCTCAAAAGGCTTGTCAGGATTCCCTTGATCCTCAGGCTCTGGGACTCTCTGAGATAAATGCACTAATTATGGAAAATAATCAGAGACCACCCTTCCCTTCGACTCCGAGCTAGGAATGATCCATCGGATACAGAGACCTGGGGACAGTGAGACATTCAGGGCATTGACTATCATACGGACCTCCTGTGCTGAGCATTCTTGCGAAACCTCCATGGGAAAAGAAGGCTTCGGCTGCCATCAGACCTGGATTCAAATCCTTACACTCTCATTTACTGGCGTAGAGACCAGGAGCAGGACACGTAATCTCTCTGAGTCTTGGCTTCCTCATTTGTAGCACAGGGACAATAGTACTGCGGGTCCTTGAATAACGCTGTTTCGTTCAACATCATTTCATTGTCACATGGATAAAATGCTAGAGGAACTTACCTCTTGTTTTTAGTCAATTAGCCTATGGTAAAACTGGTTTCATTATATGTCATTTTGCTTAAAGTCATAGAACCTATCAGTGACATTAGGCGAGGACTTATTTTGCCTGCTTTAAGGGTTTGGGGACTTAATGAGATGATACCTGGCATCTCTCTCATATTTAATGAGTTCTGACTGGCCAAGAACTCCAGGGTGGGGGCAGAATTACTTGCCCCTCTCTCATTTGAAAGCAGCCCACTAAGAGACCAGGTTCAGTAGCAAAGGAAGGGAGGGGAGGTGATGACAGATAAGGAAGAGTCTTTTTTTCACTAATTTGTATTTCCCTTTCCCCACCACATGGGACAGACCAAAGTGTGTTTGCACAAGTCTGTTCTGAAAGCTTGTGTCCATTTAAAAATCATTGTAAGAACTGCTGCACTGCAAAATGACTCATCCTCCAACGGGGCAGGCAGAGCAGCGGTGGGCACGGGCCCCGGTGCCAGACCCGTGTGCAGGGGAGCACCTGGGACCCGGGAGAAGCAGCCTTGGACAGGCACAATTAGTGGGTCTTTAGATTTTCCTTCTAAAGTTATTCCCAGGGACCTGGGTTTTGCCTCGAGCAAAACCCCCTTAACGGCCGGGACTCTACAAACAAACATTATTTTATTAGGTTACCCTAGCAGATGAAAGCAGCGAGTTCCATTTGGACTCTCTTGGAGTCAATTAATGCATTAGCTAAAGATAAACCCTCCTGAAAAGAGCTCCCGTCTTCCGTCATCCCGGGCAGCTTCTTAAGGGAGCTGGCCATTGCTCCTGAGGGCACATAAATGCCAGGCAGTGCGAGGGACGGAGCGGGGGAGCTGTCAATAATACGATTCATGGATGAGGACAATGGGTTCAATGATGTAGCTTAGCCCTAATGTGACACTGATCTCAAAGGATATACATTTTTCGAGCCTTTACTTTTAACCATGATCAGGAAAATTTAAATATCATATCATTTATATGACAGTTCCTGATTCAACGTAACCAACTACAAAACCAATTTTAAATAGCTGTCGTTGGTTTCATAAGAGCTGTATGTATGTATGACTTTAAAAGTAAGTGAACAATACGTAAGACTGATTGTTTTCAGTTACGGTTTTAACTCAGCAGCAGAAACAGCCCGTAAAACAGTAGGAAAATAACAGAGATTGCAGAATGCTTCTTGAAAAAAAAATTCTCGAAGCTCCCATCCAGCCATCCATCCCCCCATCCTTCAAAATAATAACCATGAGCCCACAAAGCTCCAGGTGCGCTAGAATTAGCATGAAAGACGGTCACGGCCCTCATGGAGCCCAAGCTGGGCTTTCAATCTAAAGATCGCCCCTGTTTTAAAAGATACAGTAGCCCTGCTTTCAGCTGCCTCAGACTTTCCCGATGAAGCAGTGAGCCCCCATGGTCTTCATCACATCGAAGGTAGAACTCTTTGGTGAGGGTTGGGTTATTCCCAAAGGGTAAAACAAGACACGCGCCTCTGTGGGCAGTACCACTGGTGGAAAGAACATTTTGCTGTTCTTACCAGGGAACGTGTCTTTTAAAAATCTCTGGAAAAATCCACATCCTGAAAGCATTTGATTCCCCTGAATTTAAAATGAGATTTTGCTCAGTGGCAAAGATACAAATTCATCCCCACAAGTATGGCTTCTGCGGTAGAAGGCACGTGACTTTGAGAGAGGGCTTATCGGCAAGGTTGGTAAATGGGGCCACAGGACAAGGAATCGCCAGATTCCGTTCTCGGAGATTTCCTCCCCTTTACCTGAAGAATCCCGGCGTGCCTTGCCGGATCCCTAGTTGGAAGAGGTTACAAACATTTTCAAGCACAATTTGTTTCCGTTTTTATTCCCTGCTCGCCGAGTTATGTGCTGTTAAACATTTCCAGGAGACTGTCAAAATGTAAGCATCCTGAGGTTTACATAGGCCACACCATGAAATAACATATAAGTACAACATTTTAAACATTGTTTTCTAGCAACAGTAAATATTTGAGCTAAGTAAAAACTGAAGCTTGAAATGCAATAAGCATTTAAATGACTCCCTTCTGGGCCAGAATTCTTCTTTCCCCTGTGCAACCCTGGGCTGCTGGGATTAAGGCGACTCTAGGGAGCTCAGCAAATGGTTGTGGGTTATGAGGTGTAGCATGAGCTTGGCGACAGCGTGCCACCCAGCCTCAAGGAACCCAGCCGCGACGGGAACCCAAGAGTCAGTGTGTTCACTCTGTGGCCAGCTTCACATTTTTTCCCCTCCTTGCAAAAAAAAAAAAAAAAAAAAAAAAAAAAAAAAAGTGGCTACAAAAGTCAGGCCTCCCTCCCACCCCCTAAGCAACCACAGGATAGAGGAAGGGCAGAGCCAAAGGCTGCGGGGCTGGCCCCCGGGGTGGGCAGGCAAGCATGTTGGAGTTACACATCTTCTAGCTCCTCAGCGTTTGGGAGGGAAGCGACGGGGGCTGCAGCCACAGCACTGGCGACGTATTGTGCTGTCACTTCAGGAAGGAAAACCCAGAACAAATTTGACGTGGTTTCCACTGCAGGGTGATTGCAGTCCTATTCAGGGATGTCACAGTCACGCCACCCACTGAGCAGAATGGAGATGGAAATGAGGCCCCCTTCAAAGTGTCTCAAGCCATTGGCCATCTCTGAACAGAATAAGGGGAGGATTTTAAGGAGAGGCAGCTGTCTGTGGCCCTATTTCCTTTGGCTTCCTCAGACCTCTGGTTTCTCATTTACTAAAGAGAATAGTCCTCAGCGACAGGTAGGTCCAGGTGAAGCCAAGACGCTCCCCTACCCAATGCAACCGCGCTTAGAGCAGCAGGCAGGGCAACCACCACGTCTGAGATTTGGGTCAGTGCTTCTACCATGAAAATCGGATCTCCTATAAAATTTCATGCAAGTGAAGAAAAGGAATGCAGCGATTTATGGGGGCTTTTCTCCACATTCAGAAGACCCAAGCTCGAAGGCTTTGTTATTCTAACACCGGCCACATTGCTAAGGCCTATCTGGAGTTTTGTGACTTGTCTTTGGGATTAAAATATAAACATTTATCACATCACCTTCCGAGGGGCTTGGGGAAGGAGGTTAGGAGGAGGGGTTTTCTTTTTGGTTTTACCAAACCCAAACCAAGGAGGGAGCCGCGTATGCATGTGTGCTCTTTCTGGGAGGGTAACAAAGCTTTTGTTCGCTTAAAAAAAAATCAGACTTGTGGATGGCACTGACTGTTCCCAATTTTGTACAGTAACTGAATGTCAACCTATTGACCTACAGCAAGACAGAGACTGACAGTGGCTGTCTTCTATGGAGGGGAAAGTTCAAGCTGACGACCAATAGACTCATCATAGCCTCTTCAGGCGCATGTCTGTGGGAGAAAAGGAGCCCTACTTTCTGTTCAAGCTTCTTTCCCCAAACGGTTACAGCTCTGGCCAAAAATTACCAAGTGTGGGATACAGCGGTATAAGGTTTTGGTATGAGGGAGAATGAGTCAGAGAAAATACAATTGCCATCATTTCATACCAATCTTCATGCCCAATTTCCAGTGAAACTTTATATTGCTTTAACTCCCAGGATGAGAAACTGCAGGAAGTGCTGGGGATGACCAGAACAAAAGGGTCGCTTTGCTAGGTCCCTTGCTTACGGATGGCTAAATGTGGTTTTTCTTCCTCACTGTGAAAATGGCTTGCTGAAAATGAGGGTACACATTACCTTGGAAGACCGGGATGGCACATATCCATGCCAATATGAATAAAATCCCTCTCAGAACACATTGAGGCCAATAATGGTCATTATTCACCAGGTGACATACAAAGAAAAGAAAATACTTCAATAGCTTTAAAAATAGTTTATTTCCTCCTTCACAGACACACAAGCCTTCTGACCATTATCCAAGGCACCACAAATTAAATAAAAACTTAAGAGTACATTTGTCTTACATGATTCAAGATAGAGTGGATTTTAAAGCAAATGGGTGCCACCTGCGTG